TTGGATTTTTCTTCTTTTTCCGCTTTTTTTTTATCTTCGCTGATTTTCTCCTCCCTCCCGCCTCTTTTCTTCGTTCTCCGTCCTCCCTCGTTCCGCTGGAAGTGCTCCCTCCCTCCTTGTACCCTCCAGCAGAACTCCCTCCTCCCTTTCTTCTCCGGTTTTTCTACCTACCTCCTTGCTCCTCACGCCGGCATCCTCGTCCGTTCATTCTCGCGACCTCCACCCTTCCTCCGCTCGACCTCTTCCCTCCTGCCTCCTCTGCCCGATCTCCTTCTCCCGAACGCCTCTTCTTCCGCCCGGTGTACTCCATCCCGACGCCCGACCGTCTCCTTTCCGCTGTCAGGCCTCTCTTTCTCCGCACTCCCTCCGCACGACCTCGTCCTCCCTTCCTCAGCCCTCCCTCCTCACTCCTGGGGTCCTCCGCCGTCCCTCCGCCCGCCCTCCGCCCGCCCTCGCTTCCTCCTTCTGACCCCTCCCCCTGCCGGATGTTCGTCTCCATTCCTCGTCCCGTCCGCCTCCCTCCGCGAGACCCTCCTCCACTTCCCCTGCCTGTGCTACGCCCAGCCTCTGCTCGACCTCGGTTCTCCCTTCCCTCTCTTCGCTCGATCTCCGCCCGAACTTCTCTCCCCAACCTTCTCACACCCTCCGCGCGACCTCCTCCCTTTCTCCGTCCCTCCTTCCTCTGTACGTCCTCCTTCGCCCGACCTCTCCCTTCTTTCTGCGTCATCCCTCCCTCCGCCCTACCGCTTCCGTCCCCCTTATCTCCGTCGGCTCCCTCGCCGTTTCTGCGTACTTCCTCCCTCTGCCCGACCTCACCCCTTCATCTGCCCTTGTCTTTTTTCCCCCTTTTGGCTTGATGTAAACGAAGGATTTCTTTCTTGGATCTCAAAAGGGGCCACGGGCGCACATGAGAGAGAGAGAGAGAGAGAGAGAGAGAGAGAGAGAGAGAGAGAGAGAGAGTGAGAGAGGTGATGGCCACGGTGCCTCTGGAAAGTTCCAGAGGTGGTGGCTTGCATGAAGGAAGCAGAGGGTGTGGCGAGCATGACCTTGTGTCTGTGTCTGTGTGAGAGAGAGAGAGAGAGAGAGAGAGAGAGAGAGAGAGAGAGAGAGAGAGAGATTGCAGGTTGACTCGCCGTTGCTCCCAAGTTTATCTGCTCCGGCGACAGCGACAACGCCAAAGGGGATGCCTATTGCTTCACTGTTCTTTCCGTATTTTTCGGGTATTTGTCCTTTTGCGGTGAAGGGGAGCTTTCTAGCTTTCCAGCGAAGGTGCACACCACAGTGTGTAACGCATCTTCTTCTTGAAAGAACAGTGAAGCAATATGCATCCCCGCTGGCGCATATTGTAGCCTTATATGCCCTAGCTAGGGCATATAAGTCAGAGCAGTGAGCACTAATAAGGTACCCACTCGGTCTACAATATGCCTTCGCACTTGCCATTTCACGCAGAACACATTGTGATGTGTTCTGTTCTGACGGCAGCAGCGACCACAATGCATACCCAGCCCCTGTGGCTGAACGGCATACCCACAAACTTCTGGTAGACAGAGCCAAGCTCGAATCCAGATGAAACCTGGTGCGGAACCTAACTCTTGAATTCGCCCGACACCGGTCAGGTAGACGATGATCTCCCGGGGCCCTTTCTTTGCCATTTCGGAAAAAAGAAGGCAAAATAAAAGGCTGTGCAGATACCCGAGTCGCACACCTTTTTTCCATTTCGGAAAAAACTTCTTTTTTCCATTTTGGAAAAAGAAGGAAAACGATGATCTCCCGGGGCCCTTTCTTTGCCATATCGGAAAGAAGTTAAGGCAAAACAAAAAGGTCTGTGCAGATACCCGAGTCGCACACTTCTTTTTTCCATTTCGGAAGAAACTTCTTTCTATTTCGGGGAAAACGAAGGAAAAAAAAAGGAACATGCTCCGAAACCCTATTCTCCATGCGGCAGTGCAGATCTCCGCGGTCTTTGCCGTTTCGGGAAAAAGAAGGAACAGGCTCTGAAACCCTTTCTCCATGCGGCAAATTCCAAGCGGAATTTTGTCTGGGTGTACTGCCGTCTCTCTATTTCTCTCCATTGTACCTTGTCCCCTTCCCCCCCCCCCCCTCCTTCTTATGTTGTTGCTGCCATACATGTGATCATAATTAGTTAGTGCGTGTAAGGATTGCAGGGTTGGTGAGAGTGAAGTAGGCCACTTTTCTTAGGAGCGTCACTAACTCGGGGCCACGTGGCGAGTCCTTATCCATCTGTCAAATGCATCCTGGGCAGACTGTTGGGGTTCGACCTCCCTAATGAATGAGTCGGTGACACAGTCTGTGTCACGGTCGTTTTTTTTTTTTTTTTTTGTGGACTTGTGTATCGAACATGACAATGCAACTCACACCCACCCACGCGCCGCGCGCTCTCACACGTACACGCGCACTTACTGTGATTGGCCTTTCTTTCTTATTTGCTTCTTCATCGACCGTAACTTGACTGTAAGAAACTGTATTTGGTCACGAATGTGGTTTTGAGGGCGGCCGTGAGGTCACCTGTAGTTATACAAGTTCGGGACCGTAGGGGCATATGGCCTATACCTTCAAATGGCAAGAGTAGAGTAGACAGAGCATGCCAAAGAAGCACATCCATAGAGGCGCGAGGAGCAGACTCTGCGCGTATGCACTTCATCTCCCGCACTTAGGTGGATGGTACCTTTTGTGGAGTTGTGTATAGCTAACATGGCAAAACACACACGAGTTTTACCTTGTGTGGAAGTCCGATAAAACTGTCTTTACCTTTGTGGAAGTCCGATAAAACTGTCTTTCCCTTTGTGGAAGATCGATAAAACTGTCTGGCGCAGTCATATGCTTATTTTTATGTGGAGTTGTGTGTCTAACGAACATGGCAACGCGCATGCACACACGTTTGGCATTTGGTGGAAGTCCGAGTAACCAGTCTGGCTCAGTCTTGCGGAGTTAGGAAGTGCAGTTAAGTCCGAGTAACCAGTCTGGCTCAGTCTTGCGGTGTTAGGAAGCGCGGTTGACCAAGTATCTTTGCTTTTCTGTGGATCGTCCTTCTGTTTCCGTCTTCAGGGGAAAAAATCACTGCCGCCTGCCTCCGAGCATAACGCAGCCTGATCGCGAATGTTTACAAGCCATCTTTCCGGCTGGATGCAGTCATAATGAGGGTGCGATGTGTTCGGGGGAAGACGGTAGGTAGTAGATGTGCCCTGCATATGTGGGGCTGCATAGGGCACCCTTGTAAGTCTTGAGAAAGAGACCCGAGCTCAAATCCTGATGGAATGGAGCAATTCTGCGTTACGTGGGCTGCTCAGTTCAATACCGCAATACCTCGCTCGAGTTGATTTGTCACTTACCGAGGATAGAGATTCACCCTTCGAAGGGGCTATATATGCTGGAAACAGCGCCCCTTACCCAGCGCCGCCCCTTAGTCTTAGGATCTGCCAGCCAAGGGGGATGGAGTTGTTTCCTGAAGCCACCGATGTAGAGGGAGCGAGGAATCGGCCACCTCCCTCTGCATGCTGCGGAATCTTGCGGCGTGCATTGTCTGACATTTTCTTGTACTCCAAGGCGTTTGATCTGCCTGGTCCAATTTTGTAGTCAATCTTTCTTTTCGCCCAAGGGTCCAGGTTGACTCGTCCTCTTTTTCAAGAAAGGAGGTAGCTCCTGACATGTATTGTGTTCATCCCCGATTTGATTCTGCCAGGATACGAACTCAGCCACATGTGTTTGTTTACCCTTCCTTCAGCCACGTGGCCGATTGAAAGTGGGCTGCCGTCTTCAATCCAAAGCTGGTATTCATAGATGAGTCCGTTCTCCTAAACCATGGGGGCTCGTTTTGCTCAGGAGGCTTCTTGTGTGTGCCGAGACCTCGTTCACGACGCGTCTTCAATTCATTTCCAGTTATGGGATTTCTAGGGTGGGGCACAACGCGTCGTCCAGTCCGCAATGTGATGCATGAAAGGGCTTCACACGGCCAGTGCCCTGCCCAGGGACCTGCGGGGATGGGCGGTTGATGCGGCCGCGGCAAAATGTTCTCCCCGCCTACCAGACCAGACAGAGGTGGGCGGGCCCAGTGTGAGGTAGCGAAATAAC